TATGGCAATTAAGTCATAAATAAAGTGTTTTAGTAGTTAAACTGTAAAAAATACCGACTTGTCCTAGCATTATGGATTATTGACCTTGAACTATAAGCTAAGCATTTCTTTGTTGGCTATGTATATCACCATTCACCAGCAGTTTTTTTGTATCGGAGTTTGATAATGTGAACTCCTTTTTAGTTCCTTCCAATTAGTTTTCTCACAGTTGATAATGGTGGCAGAGTGATAGTGAATATATGGCCGGACAACTTTCATCATTTGGTTATTCATTATGTGATAGTCCTGAGGAGGCAGACCTGTGGCTGATCAATACGTGAGTTCTTCATTTGTCCTGTGTTATCTATTAATTTTTATGAGAATGATTGAACCGTGCTGCGATCAGGTGGACTATATGTTTCTTTTACTGTTATATTGTTCCATGGTTGGTGATTGGTGATGCCCACAAGTTATTGTTTGATAGACAACTTGTAATAGTTTTGAATGTCTATGCATTGACAGATGTGGAACTTCAAATTTTGTCTTTGCTGTGCTCATTTCATCCTTTTCACACATTTATTATCAAATTTTTAAGTAAAGTCTCAAATTGGCTAAGTTACTAGCTATCTGGATATGGCTGTAGATATCTGGGGTAGAATTCATGCCCTCAGTCTGTCAGGGCTATCATAGTGCTGAATAGTTATAGGTACTCTGTTCTGTGTTCCTCTGCCAGTATGAATCCTACCCTTTTTCTAGCATAAAGAAAAACATTATTTGTTCATTCAACTTCTTCTTATTACTGGAGCATCAAATGATTCATATTACCTAATGCAGATGTACTGTAAAATCACCAAGTCAATCTGCCATGGACACTCTAATATCAAAGGGTAAAAGTGCAAAAAAGCCACTGGTGGTGGCTGGGTGTGTGCCTCAAGGAAGTCGAAATGTGAAAGAATTAGAAGGAGTCAGTATAGTTGGAGTCCAGCAAATAGATCGTGTAGTTGAAGTTGTAGAGGAGACTTTAAAAGGTCATGAAGTGCGGCTTTTGAACCGCAAGACTTTGCCAGCACTTGACCTCCCCAAGGTGTAAAGTCTAGATTTGAAGTGTAATGTTTTTACATTTTCTTCAATGAGGTTCTTTAACGTTGATGTTTTTTTTAATGAGCAGCTCTATTTCTCGTGACAGGTGCGAAAGAACAAATTTATTGAGATTCTTCCCATTAATGTTGGGTGTTTGGGGGCCTGTACTTATTGCAAGACAAAGCATGCCCGTGGACATTTAGGGAGCTACACTGTTGATAGCCTTGTAAGTTCATGACATGGACAACTGATATATATTGCTGCTATCTGAATTTTTTTTGGTTTTATTATTGAAACTCCATCTGCAGGCAGGGCGTGTAAAAACAGTTATAGATGATGGAGTAAAGGAGATATGGTTGAGTAGTGAAGATACAGGAGCTTATGGTAATATTTTGATGTTTCTATTATTGTGTATGTCGCTGATCCGAAATTTTTCTTCTTAGAAATCTTGTTTCTACAGGACATTTTGTTAAAATGATTTTGCCACACATCATTCAGTGGTCTATTAGCAACCATTGCTCTTCTTTGCCATGTTACTGTTTGAAGATGCTGCTGGTCATTTACATTTCTAATCCCTAAACTAGAGAAATAATAAGTGAGAAATAGATCTACTGCTTACTAATAAGGAAAAATAATTATAAAATTTACCATGTTCATATCATCTAGTGAAATAGATTATTGATGCTCTGCAGACAGATTTTTGTTCCATGACTAGTGAAAAATCTATCATGCTTAGAAAAATAAATAAGATGAAATGTTAATTGTACCAGTTCTTCACAATACAAGGTGTTGAACAGATTTAATTTCTTAAAATCTTACAGGTCGCGACATTGGGATTAATCTTCCAATTTTGTTGAATGCTATTGTTGCTGAACTTCCTTCTGATGCAAGCACAATGCTTCGAATTGGGATGACAAATCCACCTTTTATTCTGGAGCACTTGAAAGAGATAGCAGAAGTTCTGCGCCATCCATGTGTATACTCCTTTCTTCACGTGCCAGTGCAGTCTGGTAGTGATGCCATTTTGACAGTAAGTCCCTATATTGCTAATCTTTTCTTTTTAGTGCTGCTAGTAGCTTCTCCCTAACCTGTAACAGTGATTCCAGCTGTAATTGTATAATTTATGTAAGGGTAGCTACTAGAGAATATCATTGTAAGAGCCCTTATGTTGATATAACTGTTCTTGTTGACAGGCAATGAATCGAGAATACACTGTGAATGAATTCAGGACTGTGGTTGATACCTTGATTGAGCTAGTTCCAGGGATGCAGATTGCTACCGATATAATATGTGGATTCCCTGGTTAGTTTGCAGACTCAATTTCCACTTCGTGGTCCTTTTTGCATACTTATATTCAAGTCTCACCTTGCTAAATGTATATTTCTAGAACAGTATGACATAAAAGTTATTGGTACCCTTTCAAGTGAAATTACTCAAGTGAATTATCCTGAAATGACATTTGTAATTTCTAGATGGTGAAATCATATGTCACTAGAATTTTTGGTACTCCATTGGTTTGGTAATTTTTTACTTTTTCTAGCTTTTCAAAGTCAATATAACTTCGCATAGTTTTTTTTTTCAATATTATATTAGTTGATCTTTAACAAAAAGGTTGCAATAAAATATTAACTGTAAAGTTTCTAAAATTTAATTTTTGAATTTTTTTTGTCAAAAAAATTCAATAAAAAAGAGGTCAGAGTTAAAAATTGTTGACTCATGGAATTTACGAGGGCAAGGGCATTGGGAGTATTATGGAAGCAAGGCTTTCTTTTTCCTTTTCTTTTTGTTATTTTGGTTATTTTTCCTGAATAACTTAGGAAGAATTGAAGCAGAAATTTGATTATTGAGGGTATTGATGATATTGGATATAAAGGACCCCAATTCTTATTTCAGATTATTTATGAGTGGTGTTGACATTACTAGGAGGAATTACTTACTGGTGATAGAGAGAGTTAAAAAGAAAGTTGGAAGATTCAACAACTTGTCAGGAGTTTGTATTCATATACAACACCCTCTATAATGAGTATTTGGTATTTTAGCTGGATAGTCCTTGACATGACAGACTTTTCTTGGGTTTTGCAGGTGAAACCGATAAAGATTTTTCTCAAACTGTCAACCTTATTAAAGCGTACAAGTTTGCTCAAGTTCATATCTCGCAGTTCTATCCTAGACCTGGTATGCTGTTGATGACTTCACATTTTGCTTAGATTTTATCATTTCCCTTCTAATTATGTTTTAGCCTGGTGTTGCTCAGTGTACTTGATTTTTTTTTCCCCATGTTTTTTTATTCTTTTCTTTTGGTTTCATCAAATGTACAATGAGTAGCAATTGGGAAAAGTTTTACATTTCATTGAAGAAAAACAGCATTTATTTCTTTTTGCACCGTGAGTGTCTGTGAGTGTCTGCTGTGTTATGAAAAACAGCATTTATCTGTTATGATAGCTCGTCTCTCTGTTATTTCACTTTGACATCTAGTATGTCCTGTTCACTGTGAGTGTATTATGAAAATTTATGTGGTACCCGTGCCATAATGGACTCTGTGTAATTTTATCAACTTTTTGGTTATTTTCTATCTTAAATCTGCTTTCTGATTCCAGGGACACCTGCTGCAAGGATGAAGAAGGTTCCAAGTAACATAGTGAAGCAAAGAAGCCGTGAATTGACTACTGTGTTTGAAGCTTTCACTCCTTACAATGGAATGGAGGGCAGAGTGGAAAGAATATGGATAACAGATATCGCCACTGATGGAATTCACTTGGTAAGATGAAAGCATTTAAATGAAACACTCTGGTTCTAAGGCGTCATGGAAAGGTTACTAGGATTCATGTTAAATGTTTTTCTGATATGTTTCGTATGATCTGCTCGCTTCTCTTTAAATTTGAGAGCCCCCTCCCCCCACCCTCACTTCCTTTCATAGCTTAGTTCAAATGGAGAACTTTGTTCCTTTTGTTTTCTTTTCTTTTTTTGAATTGAATGGAGAACTTTATTAGCTTATGATTCAACCTCTTATTTTTGTGTCTGATTAGTTCTTTCATTTCCCAAGGTTGGCCACACAAAAGCATACGTGCAGGTGCTCATAGTTGCTCAAGAAAGCATGCTGGGTACTTCAGCTATTGTTAAGATAACCTCCGTTGGAAGGTGGTCAGTTTTTGGAGAAGTGATTGAGACTCTCAACCAAACAAATCAGAAATCGAAGTCCGTCGAGAAAATGCTCAGCGAGGAAAAATGTTCTCCCTGTTCCGACCCATGTGACAGCTGTGCATGTTCCGGAGAGTCTGAACCTTGTGCTTGTGGACCGGAGAGCTGTGGAGGACAGAGTACTTCAGAGCAAAGTGATGTTTTGCAGAATGACGTGCTTCTAGAAGATCAAAATAGAAGAAATCTCATTGGATGGTTACTACGAAAGCAGAAAAATCAGGCACGGAAAATGGTGGAGAATGGTATTGCGTCTGGATCCCAGAAAAGGCAAGAATGGGCCAAAGGAGCTCCAGAGGAGTGGGGTGTTGTGGATAGGGCACTCCTAGGAGGATTAATTGTCAGCGTTTTTACTACCGTAGCTTTACTGATACATCTTGGATTTAAGACCATGTCATCCAAGTGAGCTTCATGTGTTGCGATTTACTTATCCAATTCTTTGTGGGAGGATTTTCATGAAAGATTTGACGAATATGGGAAATTTTTGTTTTGTAAAAGGCAAGAGTTCTGTTACAATGTCGTTTGAGGAATAGCTGCATATTGCATATCCCTTGGCACTCCTTTCTTTTGCAATGATTATTAATATGCTTAAGCACTTAAGTTTTCTCATTCAAATCTAATACTTGATATTAGAAACTGCTTCACACTGTGTAGCCGTCGCTTTTGTTTTGCCAGCTTTTTTGGGCATTGTTTATCATTCATTAAGTATAAAATATGATTGCTCATAGACAGTACAGAATCTGGAATAAAGAGCAAAAAGAATAGTTGGGTTTCCTACATGGGATTGAAGAAACGTGGGATATGCATATTCAGCAAAAGCGAGATTGTTTTGTGGATTGGGTGTGAGGCAAGAAGTGCCTAGCTGCTTTCCTCCTTTCTTCTGCTATCATGAAATTGGTGGAATTATTTACTAGATCATATTTCCTTGTCCAGAATCAAGTAAATAAAGTGTTGTAAGTCATAGCAGTTTCCAACTCAAAGTAACATATCTGCTCTGGACGGTAATCTCTTGAAGAAGTTGACAGGCACAGAGGGCATCCTGCTCCTGAACCTGGGATGTCGAAGCACGTAGAGTCCAACCAGCACCGCCACTACCTGGAATAGAGTGACATAAATAAGTACAGCCCCGATTAATGAAAAGAGGATAAAGATTGCCGTAGCCCTTGGATCCCTCCAGCTTAGCAGCGCCTGAACTCTTTCCCCTTGGCTTGCCAAATCTCCAACCACTGTCTGCACCCTACCAGCAACACTTCTCATCCTGTCATATCTCATCCTCACAATGTCCGATGGCCGGGATGCTGGGAATGTATCAAATTCCTCATCAAGTTCATCTGGATGGGCGTTGTCTGCCTGTGAGAGCCTAGTATCCATGTGAGGAGGGTGCCTTGGCCTGAACCGATAATTCCATAACCCAATCACAAACAGATAGAGAAAGATTGTGGGCAGTATCAACTCTGGATAGCAAACCAGAATGAAGAACAACACATGCACTAGACATGTTGTTATTGGATTTCTCCAGCAGCAAATGTCATTAAACCATTTACAGACAGCCGTGACCCCTGAAAGCATTGACATCATGCGATGAACATTAGCTTTGCTTCTCCTCAAGCTCCACATATGGTAATCCACATCTAACATGTACTCCACAACTTCACGCCTAAGCGGTGGCTCAGATCTTGACAGCCTTGCTGCCACTATCTGCATTGCCTGGTGGCGGAGCCAATCAATGTGCCTAACAGAAATTGGGTGGTAATAGTGCATTTTGGGAAGCAATGGCATGCCATAGTGAGCCAACATATTAACCCAAGCTGTGCATGTAAACCTTAATGCCAAGTGAAGTTCCCCATGCTTTTTTAATCCAGAAGGGGTAAGAACTAGCAATGGATAGTAATGTGTATATATTCGATCAGTTTCCAAAGTTGATAGCCGAATCCTTACCTTCCCAATTCTCTGATCTCTTGCATCTTCTTTGCTTCCATTAATGTGGCAATTGTCAAAGACACCAATGGTGATCACAGTGCAAGGATCATAAACATCCCAAGTATACTGCTCATTCCAACGAGGATTCAGAGTATCGAGAATTGTTCTGGTTCGAATCCATTTGTTGCCATATTTGGACACACAATACGCATCAGTAGTCCTGCCATCCTTTCCCTTCAATGGCAGCAGATTTCGTGCACTGAGAATCCCAAGTTCAAGGATTCCAATATTTTGCTTCCTCAGGTGCTTGGATGACGGCTGCAGATCACTGCTAAAATGCGTAGACTCATCAAGGACGTGATACCCTGCATCTAAACAGAGACAGAGTAGGATCTTGCTTGAGAATTTATCTTTCTTCTTGTCACCCTCTTCTATGAACGAAGGCCTGAGGAGACTGAACCAGCGAGGATCTGGGAGCTTATGCGTCTCCAGTCTTGTTGGTACCTCCCTAACTGATAAAATGACCCTTCCCAGTATCTCATCCTTGCCTTGTCCTATCCTGTCCTCAACAGACACAATTATGAAATCCTCAAAAGGCTCAGACACAACAAGTATAAGCTCATCATTCCAAATTGGATTAATGGTTCGCATCTGCGAAGTCTTAGTGACCCTTAACTGATTACCAAGTTGAACTTTTACATACACATCTGGCAAGCGGCCCCTATCGGAGGGGACCAGATCTTGGGCTTCAATGACATGAACTCGAAGGTAATACAGCTTCGGCGAAAAGTAGACCTTCGATCGTGTGTTGGAAAGGTTCGTATGACTAATGTCATGAGCATCACTATGCCATGCCTCAGGAAATGACTCATCAGCCTGTGTTCCCATCCAAACTGCAAGCATAATCTCTCCTCTGGTCTTGATCCCCTTCTTGTCCTCCAATATGTACCACTGAGGAGCCAGAGGACTATCCGGTGGCACTCGAAGAGGGACTTCCGACAGATCAAAAAAAACTCTGCCCACAAAATCATCCTTGCCAAAATCCTTATCCTTCACAGTAACTTCAAGTAAATTGGACTGCAATCTATCCTTTGCGAATGCAAAAATTTGCGTCCACACCGGGTTTTGGTTCTTCTCCAAGTATTTAGTCTTTCCTTTATAGTTCCCCAGCTTAACTTCAACATATGGATCGAGACTCCCAGAAACATCCATAACAGGAAGATCTCTGGCCTTAACCACACTCACATACAAGTAATGCATCTGCTCCACCAAATCATAAGTACTTGCCATCTTGTCCCATCCTCTGTATCGCATACGTGCAGCCACCGGTGGACTGGTCTCTACCAACAAGAATTCAGGATTCTGCCTAGGCATCTGCATATGCATAGCAGGAGGGGGCCCTGCTCGAGCAAAATCAGTCCTTGTCTCAACTGTAGGAGCCATTTCTTTCATAACGTGAGGCTGAAATCCGAACCCGGTAGACACAGGAGGAGCGGGAGCAGCAGTTGCAGTCCCTATAGTGTGAAAAGTCCTCACTTCTTTATCCTTATTTTTCTTCTTCTTCTTCTTCTCGTGATCATCAATAACATCTTCTTGAAGCATGTTGGTCTTGATTTCTTGAGATACTGGAGTTGCTTCAGTCTCAATATTGCCAGCATTTGTCGGAGGAGGAGGAGCAGGAGGGTGGCTTCCATCATGTGCTGCATAAATCTTGAGTGCTATATCACCTTTGACATGCGAAAAGGGGCCACGTTTATCAAGAGGATATCTCTGAGGATCAATGGCCTCGGAATCAGATAATAAAGGCACAGAGATTCCAGAGATCCTAACACAACCAAGAAAGTTCTTGTGGTGGCCGCCTTTTCGATCATTGTACACCACTACTTCAATGGTCTTGTTGGGAAGATCTCTTGGGTTTCTTACATTGAAAACAAGCTTTTCATTCCAAATAGGGTTAAGTTCCTGAGGCTTGGTTTGGGTCTTCTGTCTTTGCTCATCAAATTCTACCTCTACGTAAGGACTGGCTGAACCATGGCCATCTTTGGGCATAAGGTCACAAGCATCGTGAACTTCTACTACTAGTATGGTCATGGTGTGATGGTAGTTGAGGGAGAGGCTTGAAGGGGTTCGTAAGATCTGCTCGGGCAATAATTTGTTAGCTAAAAACGAAAGGAATGGAGGCGGTGGGTGGTGAAAGAGTGGGGGTTGGAGATGAGGCGCTTAGTTTTGGAGTACGAAGACAGGAACATGAGTGGGGATAGAGGCAGATTCTGGTGGGCACACTTTAACATTTCGTAATCTTATCAAGTGTGAAGGGTCTTGATTTTCTTCGATAGGGAGAGAAAGAGGTTGCTGTTCTTGGTGTTAGTCTCCCTATGCAATTATAATGTGGGGACTTGATGAAGATAACGCATCGGTGAGGCAAATTAACTCTTGAGTTGAAAATAATCAATTCATTCATGATCCTGATGGAGGTTTTTTTTCTAAAAGCAATCCCTGATCTCTTGTTTTCAAGGTATTATGGAGATCCATTATTAATTCATCCATGGAGATTGTCTAGTCCTTTAGCCTAAAAGGTCAGCAAAGCAGATCAGATTGATTCTCCCTTTGTGCATCACATCCACTTTCTGCTCATCTTTTTGCATAATATTGAATCCACACTCTTTAACACGGCAGAACGATTAAAAAAGTTTTTAAACTTCACCCGACTGATATCATATCGGCGAATTGAGGCACGAGGGTAATTGTGTAAACTAATCATCAACCTGAATTCTTTCTCGTTAATGTTATGAACTCAGCCAGCCCCACTTCTACGACCTCTTTATGCTTTTGTCTTTTTCAGAAAAAGAAAAGAGAGAAGAAAACAGCATAGTTGAGAAGATGTGTTGGTAGCATGTCAACAGGTCGGCTTGATTATTCAAGACTTCATCTGAACATTTGCTTAGCTTGAAAGGCTTCTACGACTGAAAGGACAGAGAAAAATTGGAACAGAGGGAATTTCATGACGAAACTTCTCTACTACATCATCCCTGATTGAGTGTAGATTCTTTCTTTTTCATTACCAGCCATGACCTGTCCACCTTCTGTTCGTCCTTGCTTGTGAAACAAATTCAAATTCAAATTCAAGTTCATAATATTCAAGATTCAAGCTTTGACTGATAAAGAAGATATTTATCGAGAAGGCATGTTTCTCAACGTGGTGGATGTTTTTTTTTTAATTGGAAAATATAAATTTATATTTTTTATTCTTTTAAATTTATTTCAACTTTAAAAATTTATATTTTTAAAAAACACAGTTAAATCATATATCCAAACACACCCTAATTCATCAATAATATCTAAATTACATAAAGTTGCTGCTTCTTCTTCTCTTTCCTTTTTTGCCCTTGCCGCTTGCTGCCAAAATGTTTCATTAAGAAATATCTAATTAAAGCAAGTAAATATACATTTCTTACCATTTAATGGTAAATTATAAATTATTTATTTTACATGCCTTAGGCTAGTTGCCAGACCTTAACATGGAGGCAACCTCTCTCTATATATATATTATTATTTACATTTTTTTCTCTTTTTCTTTATTTCTTTTGATCTGCATTATTTTAAAGGCATCTTTAGAAGTCCTGTCCAAAGGGTCCCCCAAACCTTTCACCAAGTTTCCTATGTGGTAAGGGAATAATCCGTGGGTGGAATTTAATATAGTTTTTTTCATTCAACACAGATATACTGACAATTACGGATTAACTATAGAATATATGATTATTAAAGTTTTTTTTAAAAGTATTTTTATTTAAAAATATTTTTAATATTAGTGTATCAAAACAATTGAAAATATTAAAATAAAGTATTAATTTGAAATAAACAAATATTTTTAAAATATAAAAATAAAAGGGAAATATTGGCCATTGATTATGCATACTCCTTGAATTATTGGCCATTGATTATGCATACTCCTTGATGTCTTAACAACAATTGTCAGCTGATCAGACAGTCTTCAGCTTGTTCTATCTGGAACCATGTCACCGACAACTACAAAATTTATGGTACCAATAATAGCCTTCCTTCCTCCAGCCAGCAACCACTGCCTAGCCTGGTTTATACATAAATAAAATTCTTCATTTTCTAGTATTAGAATCTAACAAAAAACTAATGTTAACATTAACTATATATTAATTGCTAATGCTAACATGGCTTTTTTCCTAAAATTTGTGTTTGCTAGATTATGAGTTCAACTCCAACTCTAATGTTAAACTTAATCACAATTTTTCTCTCTTTACATGTATTTAAGAAAAATTATTTCCTAAACACAATCCCAAGGCAATTTAAATATCCCTTGAAAAAAAAAATCCAAACTGTAAATATTTAAAAGGAAAGACCTCAATTTAGTCCTTAGCCTGTATACCTTTCTTCTTAAATTATAGCTTTTATCAATTAAGTTTTGCTCATATTTATCAACTGTTTAAATTGAGTACTTTAAAATAATTTGAATAAGATTAGATTCAGAATTTAATATAAATTTTATGTTATTTAATTTTATGTTATTGAGCATAACTCTAAGTCAAACTGTTGGATGGATCTAAAATTTTACTAGAAGATTTTAGAGGTATTTTTATATGTTGAGGTAAAATTTCAGGTGAGTCAGAAATCAGAAAAGTTTTATGATATCGGTTAAAACAGACTATATAAATTTTGTTATTTATTTTCTTTTAACTTGTGGATTTCTTAATTGGCAAGCATCATTTTCCTACAAGGATGTGATG